TCAGCACTACATGTGAAACAAAAATAAAAAGCCAAGTACAGATAATGTCCCAGTGATTTTTACATCTGCAGAGACAAAGTGCCTAGAAAGGTTGGTCTTTGGATGTTGAATTGATATGGTGTAGCAAACTGCTAGTATCTATGCTGAATAGAAGTTGAAACTGAAAACCACTGCTACAGTAGTTTTTCGGTAAGGCTTTATTTTCAGTACTCCCATTGTTTCATTATGGACACTGCTTAAGAGACAGGCCTAGAAAATGCCACAGAAACATTTTACTTTTCCATTTGTTGTGAGGGGAAAGGTAGTTCTTTATTCTCCTCTTTACGTAACATTTCTCCCTTTGTTCCAAGCAAGTCTTTGCATATTTTGGTGGCTTGCTTGATTTTTAGAAAAAGTTAGATAGGTCTGTGTTTTTACTTTATTGATGCTGCTTTCTTACAAGTATTATTTAAAAAACAAATAAGGTTCTCCTTAATATCAGAAGTTGATCAGTAGATTGGCAAGTTGATCTGATGCTGGTCTAAAACTGTTTCCCATGAGAGATTAATAAAACCAAGAAAAAGTCCAGTTAGTAATCAAGTTTATTCTTTCTTTCTGTCTGCCTTGTAGATACTTACCTTCAGAGATAATTAAGAAACAAGTCTTAGGCTGAAAATTTCCATTCAATTTCTGTTTGAATAGGTAGCTAGTCCTGTTAGGCAATAGAGGGTTTTTTTGTGGTGCTGATACAAAAAGGTTTTCTTTTAACTGTTGGCATTTCCAGATAGTTTCATTATGGAGTAAGTTTTCCTTTTCTTCTCCTCCCTGCCCCTCCCCCCCCCACAGTTTAAGCAAAAATTTCTGTGAGAGCAGAGGCGGTGACTTAGAGCGAATGGCTGAACTTGTTCAGCCAACAAGCTCCTTGTTCTTCAGCCTTCTCATGATGACACCTGTGTTAGTGTAAAATGACTAGGAATTAGCTAGTAGTAAGTTTTTCTTTTAAAAAATAAAAAATCGGTATCATAGTTTGAAATGATGGTGTATTTGTGTTACACGTTGTGAAAGAAGATTATCATTAGAAGTGTTAGACCAAACTTTTTCTTTTTTTTTTTTTTAAGTACAGGAAAAGCAATGACACAGTCTGCACCCAGAAGTGTGTGATATTTTGATCTTGGCATAAACATGTTCTTTTTTGGATCTTTGGCTGCAGTGACTTATGTGACAAAAATAGCGATTTTTCTCTCTAATTTTGAAAATATTTTTTGTGCTGAAAACTGAGCACTTAACCTGTAGCTCTTGCTGTATGGTGTGTGTTTTGCCTTAGCTTCCCCATCACTGTTACTGTTGGTTCAAATCCTTTAAATTTCTCAGAGGAAAGTCCTATGTATGGACTGTTGCAGCTGTTGGGGATTTATAGGTATTACATGTCATGCAGAGCTGCTCAGTACTGTCTCAACGATCTGCCATGTGTCTCTATTGCTTATGTTTATGCAGAACTTGCTCATGTATTACCCCATTTCCTACCTCTTTTGCAAACAAGAGCTTTAGGTTTCTGGATTATAGTACTGTCTTTGTAGAGGTTGTCCCTCCAAGTCAACATTCTGCTGAAGCTCAGGTTGAAACATCGTGTGAAAGGACATGATGAAATAAACATGCGTTGGTAGTCCTCTGAGTCTATCAGTTACTTGTCCTGTGGCCAGTGAACAGGAAAGATCTTCACAATTCAGTAGAAATGAAATCATATCTGTTAATCTTACTATTTTTTTGTATCTGCTGTATTGCATCAAGACCTCTGGGAGTATGTGGTGCACATGAGGAGATACACAGGCAGAAACACTAGTGTAGTTTCACACATCTGTATTAATTTGGATGATTCGAGTTAAATTAAGCTCTGCCCAACGTAGACTAGGCTTCTGTGCTTGAACTCCTATAGTGCTTTTTACTAGTTAATTTCAAACTCTTTTTAAGCATGTATGAATATTGCCATAGCATCTTAAGATTTGATAAATGTTTTAGCAAGTCCTTGCTGTTTCCCTAGTTTTAAAATTATTTGCTGCTACTCAGTTTGTCTTTTCCCATTTCTTTGTGCTGATTTAACACTATGGGATAAGAAAGCTTAGTAAGATGTTATTGATGCTATGGCCTTTAAATTTTATTTTTCTGTTTTTCTCTGTTCTATGTACCAATTAGCTGTTACTCTATGGTAGTGATCCTGCATTGTCCTTCATACATGGTATCATTAGGGCAGCCCTGAATCAGTTGTTGTGAACATTTATTATTTGTTCTTTCTTCTTGTTTTTTGTAATTTCCTTTCTTTCTCTCCCCATCCCTTTTACTTCTACCTCCAGGTTTGTTTTGTAGTCTTGCATTTATTAGTAACGTGGTTGAATACTGACTTTAAGATTTTTACTCTTGTCAGATGTTACTGTTAGTTGATATGTTAGTTGGGTTGTATTAGTGTGCTCTTGTCCAAAATGAGGCCAAGTTATTGTGAGAATCAAGGTTTATGAAATAGCTCTTACTTTGCTGGTCCTGCTTATAAGCCTAATGGGAATTTATTCCCAGACTCCCAGCTTTGTTGAGAGCTAGTTGGCAAGATAAGGAGTCTATGTGTTTTGTCTGAATATCGAATATTGTATGATCCACGTCTGTTGACAGGTTGGTATTACTTATAGTGACTTTAAATGATAGCTAGCTGATCTCTTCATAAAGAAAAAGGTTTAGAATTAGTTGTGGTTTTTGCATCCAACCCCAGAGCAACTAGCGTTATCTACTAGACTTTTTTTTTTCCCCTCAGTGCCTTTGTTTTTGAACTTACCACTTAATTCCTGTGTTGAGGAACATCAAACCGCTTAAAATTTCCCAACAACTGTGAATCTGTGTGACGTGATTTTTGCTTACTTACCTAAGTAAACTGGAATTTTTTTCTTCCCCCACCCCGCCCCCCAGTCTCTCCACTGTTCTTTCCTGTAGCTGCTTTACACGTTTCTCACAATGTTGCAAGCTGTTTGACCAAGATGGCTTATTCCAGTGCCAGTTTCCCCGTGGTACCTTAGGAAAGAGGTACTTTGTTTTGGTTGCCTCTGGCTCTGTGTGTAATTGAACTTACGATTAGCACTATATTAGTGTGTATATTTTACTGCTGTATGGAAAGCTAACTTAATTACCATCCTTATGGCTTAGTGTTTTGCATCTTTTTTAGATTTGGTAATCCACATTATTATTGCCCTCTTTGAGCAAGCCTTGTCCTGCATGGAAGTATTTGATTCCCTTCCCCTCCTCCAAGGTTATGTAGGATTTAGACATTTTTGGTGGCTTTTTGTCTGGCTGGTGTTTACTTGTGTCTCAATGTTTCTCCATGCTGAATTTTCTTCTGTTTCTCTTCATTTATAGTTAGCGCTGACCTCCACAGTCCTCCTGACATTTACTTATGGCACTTTGCTATGCTGAGAAATGCTGTTGTTTTACAATGATCTGATTTACCCAGCATTAAAGGTAACATTTGTGTACAAGGACACTATTACAATTAAAATCTCTTTGGAAGATTGTCATGGAGTGCTGTTAATTTCTGGTAAACAGTTTAAACTCTGGTCCTATTCTGTAGCAGGTGCCCTGCTTTATCTGGCAGATGAGGTTAGTGTTATAGCACCATGCCTGAAGTAAGCCTTTGATGATAGAAATAGGAAGTTTGGGAGCAGTCTTGTTGCTTCCCAATTTTCCTCTCGGCATGTGCAAGCAACCCCAGCAGCAGTGTGTTTCTCCATATCTCCCCCTTCAGAATAAGGAAGCTTCACCATGGTCTGGTTTTTTCTCTTTCTTTTGAAGTTGACAGATGCAGATGGCTGATGGAAATGCAGTCTACAGGAGTCTGTTTATGAATAGCTTAATTTCTTCTTTACTGATACCGTTTTGTTGGTGTTAGCAAAAGCAGAAAGAGGAGCGATTTTGCTTTGTTTTATGGTTTTAAAATGTTGTCAATTAAGTATGTTCTAGGGCAGAGGATGGTCAATCTGCCCTCTCCTCCCACCCCACCTCCAGCTGACTGTCAGCCAGATGAAATGTGCTGGCAGAGATCAGCTGGGTTTTGATACCAGCTTTTTGTTTTATCATTTTCGATTCTGGCTTCATGTTTACTCTGTTTTTTAAGCGTTTGCAGTCAATGTGTACGTAATTCAAAATTATTTTGCTCTGTGATGGTGTGATTCCAATGTTTTTTCTCATGATACCGTGAAATATTGTAGTATTAAGCTAATGAGGAATCTTACTAACATTTTAACTTGGCTACTTCATGAATTTGCTGTAGAAAACCACATTTTTCTAAGTTTTTTAATAGTCCCAAAATAAATATTTATCTTTAAATATTGTGCTTTCCTAGTATGTTAAATCTGGTGTAAAATGAATATACAGGTAGAAAAATCTGGCAGCTCAAGTATATGCCAAGGAAAGTGCCTTGGCACAAGTCATGCCATTGGTGACAAATTCAGAGTTGGGTTTTTTGGTGGTTTGTTTTTTTTTTTTTGAGAGATATATGCTTCTAAATTTTTTTTTTTAAGGAGTACTGCTGATCTATAAAGATTCAAAACAATCTTTTATATTTTAGTTGGACAGATCTTTGTGGAGTAGACTTAACTGTTAAGAGGTGTGTATGTATAATATGGAGTTTGATGGAGCTAAACAAGGATTTTGGAGGGGATGAGGGTGGAAAGTTTGCATGGGTAAGAAATATTTCTACCGCTTTCATTTCCCTTGCTTGACTCCATATTAATTTGAATGTTCTTGCTTTATGTTGCTTTTTTTAGGCTTCACTAAGAGTATCTGATTACAACTCTCATTTCTTGTTTATTTTTAACTTTATTCATCTCAATTTATTTAATCGACTGCATCCATTTGTGTGCTACCCATTTGTGTGGTCTAACTTCACAATTGATTTATAGGTGAAGCTAAGGGAACTTCTTTTTCTTTTAGTCCTGTTACCTTGGTAATTGTGAATTTTGTGATATTCTACTAACTTCTCATTGCAGCCGATCAGATGACGATTCTGGGTCAGCATCAGGTTCTGGATCTGGTTCAAGCTCTGGAAGCAGTAGTGACGGAAGCAGCAGCCAGTCAGGCAGCAGTGACTCTGACTCTGCTTCAGAGTCAGGCACTCAGTCAGAATCAGAGTCTGACACATCTAGAGAGAAGAAACAAATTCAAGCTAAACTGCCAAAAGTTGATGGATCTGAGGTAAACAAAACATGTAAATGAACCTTTTGTGGGGGAAAAAATTATTTAAAAAAATCATTCTGTGCAGTTAGTTTCCAGAGCAGTTTTCATTTAAAAAAAATAAAAAGAGGTGGTGAAGTATTTTTAATTAGATTTTAACTTGGTTGTGTTAGTGAATGCATGTGCTTAGCTGTCTTAAACATTAGGCTAAATTTCTCATGGGTAAGGACTTGAATTGACGCTTTTAAAATTCTCACATTTGTAAGTATTTTGAGTTAAATGCTTACTTAAATTTCATCATGCAGAAGCATGCACTAATTTACTGGAACTTATGGAAGACAAAGGCACACGTAATGTTATTTCTGAAATTCTATTTTTTACATTGTTTCTCTACTACTTAGTTTCCTTGTATCAATAAATGATTGTATAAAAATTTCAAGTTTACATACCGTTGGCTTTCTTTATCAATAAGTCAGCTAAATTCAGGAAAAAGTGGTGTTTAGAAATCTCTTAAATCCGGCGGGCCGAAATTACCTGCATTCTCCTGCGTTATATGGACTTAATTGGGGTGATAGACCATATATATGAAAGGTAGTCATATATTAGTTACCACGAGAATTGAAGACTGTTAAGGATTCTCTGTTACATTTTTGTTCATCCACTTCAGTATTACTGTATGAAGCAAAAACATATCAGCTAAGTGGTCTGAAAGGATTTATCTGGGTCAGTTTAAAAATGTACTTTATAAATGTTTTATCTTAACAATACCTACACAACTATTGTTAAATGTGCCATAGAAATTGTCCTGGAAATTATTATATGACATTCTGTTCTGCCAGAAGTCTTACTACTTGGAAAAGCTATCTGATGTTATTAGTGCATGCAGTATTTTGTAGTAAATTGTTTTAATTGATAAAATTTAAGATCCATCGGAGTAGTGATGCCACTCAGGAAAAGTAAATACGTGGTAAACTGGAGACTTTGTATGTTTAATTGACTCTTGCATCTCCATTCCTGTTCAGTTTTGGAAGTCTAGTCCAAGTATACTTGCAGTGCAAAGGTCAGCAGTGCTCAAGAAGCAACAGCAACAACAAAAGGCAGCTTCATCAGACAGTGGTTCAGAAGAGGTAATAACATAATTTAGATACTTAAAATGTAAATGTGCCTGTCTTACTGTCTCGTATGTTAGAATAAAATTACGTAGAGCCAAATTGTATTCCCTAAGTGTGCGTAAAAGTCTGGGTTTAGTCTATAAAAGTAACATTCCAATAACTGATGTTTTTACAGAGAAAAGTAAAAATATCTCTAGTTACTTGTTTTCAAGTGAGTTGTGCCAGAATTATAGCAGCCTCGATTATGTGGTATTTTGGGGTAGATACTCTGTGATGTATGGACAAAATTTTCAAGCCATACAGTACTGAATTGCATTGTATTTTTGGCTTCTTGAGTTTTGTAAAGACAGTTAAAAATGCTAAAAGATTTTTTCAGCTTGTTTCTGTATAAAGGTGGTTACTGTGGTTTTCAAAAATTCTGTATGGAGTAGAAAACTCCATTTTTGCAAATTTTGTAACAGTTACTACAAAAGAATTCTTGTATTTTAAGAATGACACCTGTATTCTAGGTATTTTAAAACCTAAATCATCGTCTAAAGAAATGTTGACTTTGTGCAGTAAGAACATCTTTTAAGGCCACTAGTGACTGTGAAATGGAATTTATTTATAAGCAGACCTTTTCTCCTTCGTTACAAAATCTATGCACCATAGTCACACTCACTTGGTTGGATTTCTGTTTTTGTCTGGTTTAGCAGCTCATCACACAGAACTTAATCACCTCTTGTTAAAACATTTGTTGTTACATAATCTCTTTCTGAAAGGTGTTTTTCAGGATAAAACTTAATCTAAATCTAAACGTAATCTTGATGAGACTGGTTTTAGGAAAATCTAATTTTAAGAGTGTTCCTGTTTTTCCTTTGAGCATAGAGAAAGAAGAAACATGCTATTCTCAAAATTTCTCAAACTGGTGTTTAAATGTGAAAGAATATGGAAGGCAAGAAAGCTCCTGCGGGAAGGATATTTTACTAGGATTTTGATAGAACCATCATCTTGATTAACTTGGGGCAACTTAAACCATGACTGTTTTTATGTAGGCACAATGGTTGTTTTTTAAGACAGGGGTTTTTTGTGATTTTCTCTGGAGCTCTGCTGGCACAATGTGTTCATAGATGGATAAATACAAAAACAATAGAAGTCCTTATCTCATTCTGCATTAACAGCTACGCTTCAGGGAGGAAGAGAGTAAAACATCAATAATACGCCTCCAATTTGGAAGTGGAAGCTGATTTATTTTTTTAGTGTTAGAAGTACTTCCTTCTCTTTTGAGATAATTAATTGTTTTTTTTTTTTCTTCACCTGCAGGACTCATCAACTAGTGAAGATTCTGCAGATGACTCATCCAATGAAACCAAGAAGAAAAAACATAAAGAGTAAGATATTTTCATAAGTAATATTACATAATTTTTTTGTCGTAATGACACATGCTCATAATTCATGCTTCATTTCTCCACACTTGAAATACTTAAGTTCCCTTTTTAATTCATCTTGATCTTGCGTTTCCAATTTTGATAAATGTTTTGGAATATTTAAAATAAACTCTCAAAGGAACATCTATATCATTTTAATTTCTGAGCAGAAAAGTCTGCAGTATTGTTCAAAAACGTTCATCAGTGCTTTTATTTTTAAAATACTTCGCAGTTTATTTTTGAGCTGAAGGCCTTCCCTAAAACTTCTTGTAAAAATGCAAAACTATTTAAGTAGGTTGTCTCACAACAAATTTAAGTTAGAATCCCTTAGTTAATGCCAAATTCTTTTTGTTTTGTTGGGTTCCCCCCCTCCCCCGACATGTTTAAAAGTTGTTATATTTCTGACAGTAATTAACTTCATTGACTAGCAAAGAATTGTAACTGAAAATAAGCTCCTTGTAAGTGATAGATCAAAAAGTTTGTGAAAAGGGTTATTCTTTGTTATTGTGGCAGTAAGAGGCAGTGACCTGTTTTTTTTGTGAATGGTGCGTAGAAATTGAACTGTTCTATCATTCCTTTTCTCCCAATTCATGAATCACTTCAGTGTTCAGAGTTGCCAGTATGACATCTTGAAGAAATGGTAGTTGGGGGAAAAAAAAAATAAAAGGGCGCAGGAAAAAAAAAAGGAACTAACTATGCAAAATTGTACTTTCCTAGCAATGAGCTGTTATTCACGATCTTTTGTTAGTTAAGAATTTGATTGCGTTTAATAGCATACTCTGTTACAGGAAAGATATTTAAGTTTAGGAACCCGTAACCAAATCACTTCATATATCCAGTGCTTGAATTTTTGTCCTGTTACTCTTCTGAGCAAGTATGTCTGCAGTTACCTGACATGCAGATCGGAGATTTCTCAATATATAACTCGGTACGTGATCAAACTTTAGAGTATGGTGCTTTATATCTGTTTTTTATATTTCAAAATAAATACAGGTCATGGATTTATGTTACTATTTTTTTAATTTACTGCTTGCAGAAAAAGTATTTTAATAAGACATTCTGTACCATTGGCCATGTGCCATCTGTACAATAGACACATACATGTATTTGTCTCGGATGACTGGAACAATGGGACTGTAATTTCCTCCAGGATCCAATGTCCTGGAAGACAGGAAAGAGAGAAGAAGAGAGGGATCAAAGCACTGATTCCTAGGCTTCCTGATTGGAAATTTAAGGAAGAGATTTGGTAATATTTCACCTTCAATGAACATTACTACTGCTCTAGCACCTTGGTCAAGTAAACCTAAACCTGATGTTAGTATAAAGATTTAGCAATGTTTCAATAATGTATACCAGCCTTTTTTTTTTTTTCTTTCTTTTTCATGAAGCTGTTAAGATTAAATTTACCTGTATAAAGTCAGAGTTTGAAGCAAGATACTGTTCATCAGTGGGTACATCTTTCCTGTTGCAAAGTAGATGATCTTGGTTAAGCAGGAACAAGGAGATCCTGCTGCTCAGTCACAAGTGTCTTACTCATAGTATCTTGTCTGGTTGTGAAGCACTCATCTGGGAGCTCAGTGGGAGCTTTTGGGAGCCAGTGCCACTCACAGGTCACTGCAATTCAAGTTTTTCTGGGCGTTTCTCAAATATGCCTCTCTTATTTTTTGATTCCTGTGCCAAAGTTGCTGATTCTTCACATGGGCCGTAGGGTCTATAGGCATTAGACAATATGGAACTCTCCAGAATGTAACATGACAGGGCTTTATGATTTGAGCATGTGTAAGTTCTGATAAATATGTATCTTTCCAGTTAGACTTGCTAAGTGCTTTGGTTTCTTAATGTCATGTTAACTCATTTCTTCATGCTGAAATAGATACAGAAATCCAGATTTTTGTTTTATTTGGATTTTAAGTATACATCTTGATAACAGAATTCTTAGTCCAATTCCCTTTGAAGCCATTGGGCATTTTTACTTATCTGTTATTCATTGATGACAATTTTCTGTCTCATCAGCTGAAATAACTGTTACAAGATTTTTATTTCTCTGGAGAATGTTGAAATTACAGCAGATACCCTGTGGATGAATACCTGATTTAAAAAAAAACCCAACGTAAGTTACTCTTTTGTTTTTCAATATGTACAGTGAAGACTGGCAAATGTCAGGATCAGGGTCAGTATCAGGAACTGGTTCCGATTCTGAATCAGAAGAAGATAGGGAGAAAAGCAGTTGTGAAGAGAGTGAATCTGACTATGAGCCAAAAAACAAGGTCAAAAGCCGGAAACCTCCAAGCAGGTAAGAAATCATGCATTTGGAAACTCTGGATTTATTTCTTACAAGCAATTGAGTATTTACTACTACTAAACATGCAAATGAAAACATTAATGCTTACTAAAAAAAAAAAATGAGCTTTTTTTAAAGCTACATAAGATGTTAATATACTAATACTTTCTAGTGAATACCTTTTCCTGTCTGCTGTAACTGAAAGTGGAGTAACTGAGCATTCATGAAATACACATATAATTAGAAAGCAATACAGAAGATTTGGCAGTTGTCCCTGTTGAAACATAGTTGTTGTGTCATATCTTATTGTCTTCAAGAATTAAGCCAAAAAGTGGGAAAAAGAGTGCAGGACTGAAAAAGAGGCAACTTGATTCATCAGAGGATGAGGAGGAGGAAGAGGATGATGATGATTATGATAAGAGAGGATCTCGTCGCCAGGCAACAGTCAACATTAGTTACAAAGAAGCTGAAGAAACCAAGACAGATTCTGATGATTTGCTGGAAGTGTGTGGAGAAGATGTCCCACAAACTGAAGAAGATGAATTTGAAACTATAGAGAAGTTTATGGATAGTCGAGTTGGCCGAAAAGGAGGTATTTTTTTTTTTTTTTTGTCGGTGTTCTTAAGATCCTGGAATGCATTGTGGTGCAGCTTTGGCAAATGTTTTCAGCTGTCAGTCACCTGTGAGGTTTATAAACAGCAATAATGTTAAAGTTACCAAAAAGTCATCTTGTTTTGTCTTTCATATTCATAAGGATGTTCCTTCTTAAAGTCCCTTCTAGATGTTGCAAAGTAAAATGTAGAATTGCATACCTAAGTTGAAAATGAAAATGAAGTGGAAGATAGCTCTATATTGCATAAATGCATACCATATTGTTACACCACTGTTTGTACAGTTTAGTGATAATTGATCAGTATAAATTATGTACAGTGGAGTGGAGAAAGTGGGCTAGATAGGAGACTTGACTAGTAACCTGAACCCTGAAAGATGGTGTTAGCAAGACTGAACCACTGAGGTTCTGATTTCAGTTATTGTTGTACAAATTGTCTCAATACAGTGCAATATGTGGAATGACTACAAAATGCATCTAAAATTTCAGTGGTGCACTTGCATGTGAACTCTTAAAAGTATTTTGTGAATAGTGGTAGGCATGTCATATTTCCGGCAATAATGGTATGCAGTATCTAGCAGTTCTGCTTATGTGTTTGAGTCTGTAAATTGGGATTCTAATTATAAAAACAAACACACACACAAAAAAAACCCCAAACCCTGGGCCCTTTGCACTTCAGAGCTACCTTTCTCCATTAGCTATAACGAATCTCTAAAGTTTCTGACCCATCTCAAAACTTGCACTTTTCTTCCTCTCAACATTCTGTCATGCTGTCCCAAATTCTAGCGTATCCTACTCCAATGCATAGTGTTACTGCTGTGGTCAAAGCCTTTCGAACTAAGCTTCTCATATTCTTTCTGCCCAGATGACGTTACTGCTTGTGCTGTCTTTTGCTGTTGCCACTCTCTGTTGTTTTATCTGGCCCCTGCAGCGTGCTGGGCTCATTTCCTTACTTGGCTGTCCTCACAGAAATAAGCCTGTTTCTTGCTGCTAGTATGCTTCAGCTGTGATATAGACTTACTTAATTAAAAATTTTCCCAGGTAAGATAACAAAGGCAGAAAAAGTAGTTAGGAAGAAATAGACTTATAGTATCCCAAGTAGTAGGTTATTGATGTCTCAAGGCTGACCAAGCATAACATCAGATGTCTTTTATATGTTCAGAGATGAGAGTAATATAACAGAGAAGACAGCAAGCAGCGTTAGTGGAGCATTCGTTGGTGATCACTTTAAAAACTAGGAATGCAAAGAAAATTCTCATGAGAAAAGATAAGATATTGTAGGTTAGGTGCAAAAGTTTTGGTTGCTTTTTTGATTCTCTTTTGACTACTTGTGCATGTGTTAACATATCTACATCATAATTGTTCAAATAAGAGTAATGACATGAGGGCTGTACATACTAGTCAAGTATATGCTTATTTAAAAGTATCACTAATTGCTTTCTACACTACATTTCTTACTGGTTAACTTATGACAATGCACATTTAATTAAGGCTTATGACATGGTTTCTTTCTCAGCCACCGGTGCTGCAACCACCATCTATGCAGTTGAGGCAGATGGTGACCCAAATGCTGGGTTTGAAAAGTCAAAGGAGCCAGGAGAAATACAGTATCTTATTAAATGGAAAGGTTGGTCACACATCCATAACACTTGGGAAACTGAGGAAACACTGAAGCAACAAAACGTTAAAGGAATGAAGAAACTGGACAACTATAAGAAAAAGGATCAGGAAACAAAACGATGGTGAATAAGTTTATGTAGACTTCCATGATACTTATTTTGTAACAATGTTACCTCTTTTTGAGGGCATAATTTCAAGTGTCTGTGCAACAGAAAGGCAAAAACTTTAAAAGTTGAAGCGTCCTTAACATGTTCCTATAAGATAATCTTCTGAACCTGATTTTGGTGTGTGTGTGTATTATAAACGGAGTTTTAACAAGATGGGTAATGATTAAAAACAAATAATAATTTGTACCTTTTACTAGTTTTGTCATTATACTTTGATCAGAGTTCTTCAGGAATCGCTGCAGAGATTAACGTTTTCTTGGTGCATTAGCCATTTGAGATAACTTCGAAGAATTCAGTTTTCTTGGCTCAAACCTGAGGTTCAAGCCTGAGGACAAAAACTTGAAGAAATCCATGCATTTTAAAGTTACCTTTTTGGTGTTCAGTTTTATTAGTATATTTAATATAATCAATGAATACTAGTGGGATTTTTAGCAACTTAATCATAAGATAGATTCTTACAGAGAGCGCCACCCTGAATACTGTTCCATGAAAATACCCTGTAAAGTACGCTACTTACTGTTGAGAATAGGTATTCTGAATTACCTGCATGACTAGTACCACCTGTAGCTGAAGTAATTGTGTCTCTTGGTAAGCATTCTCAGTCATTAATGATGAGACACCTAGACCAGATGCAACAATTTTGTAGCAGGAATTTCTAAGTTGTCCCTTAAAAACAGCTCTCTAAGCAACATTCATGTGATGCTTACATTCAGAGCTTTAGAGTTGCCAAATTTACTTAGTTTTAGAACTATACAGTGTAATAAGTGTGATAAATTAATTCTCATTGCAGGCTGAAAAATGCTTCTCCGGAAGATGTGGAATATTACAACTGCCAGCAGGAGCTTACAGATGATCTACATAAACAGTATCAGATAGTGGAAAGAATAATTGGTACGTTGCAAACTTGCAGACAGAAAACAGTGTTGAGAATTCTGTATGTTCACTGCTTATATGTTGCATTTGTAGTTAAGAAATTTAGAATATTAATATCACTAACTTTTTAATCCAAAACAAAACTTCAGGTAAAGAGAAAAGTTGTCATACTGTCAGTGGTATGAAGCTAGCTTATGTTGTCTTACTACTTAAAATGAGTGTTTTCATAAGATACAGAAGTAAAATGCTGATTAGATATCTCTGGCGTATTTCTGCAGCTCATTCAAATCAGAAATCAGCAGCTGGTTATCCAGACTACTATTGCAAATGGCAGGGTCTACCTTATTCAGAATGTAGCTGGGAAGATGGTGCTCTCATTGCCAAAAAGTTTCAGGCACGCATTGATGAATACTTTAGCAGAAATCAATCCAAGACTACTCCCTTTAAGGATTGCAAGGTGAGTTTGTAATTTGCAGTGGATTTAGAAATAGATTTAGTGGGTCTGTCTGCGATGGAGTTAATTTTCTTCATAGTAGCCTGTACAGCCTGTGTTTTAGATTTGTGACCTAAACAGCATTGATAACACACCAGTGTTCTGGCTGTGCTGAACAGTGCTTGCATAGTGTCAAGACCTTCCCTGTTTCTTGCTGTGCTCTCCCTGCCATGAATAGGCTGAGGGTGGGCAAGGGTCTGGGAGGGAACACAGCCAGTACAGCTGACCCCAACTGACCAAAGAGATATCCTATGCCATTTAATGTCATGCTTAGCAATAAAACTGGGTGGGCTGAGCAGGGGGTTGAAAGGTGGCAGTTGCTTGGAGACTTGCTGGCCATCAGTCTGCTGGTGAGTTAATATGTGACTCCCTTTCTGTCACTTGTGGGGTTTTTTTTGGTTGTGGGTTTTTGTTTTGGTTGGCTGGGTTTTTTTCCTTCACCCAGTAAACTCTTTATTTTGACCCACAAGTTTTTCTGCCTCTTGCCCTTTCAGTTTTCTCTGCTGTCCTGCTGGGGTGGGGAATGAGTAAGCAGCTGGGTGGTGGCTTAGTGGCCGGCCAGGTTCAAGCCACCACATCAGTTATGATAGTAAAAATGTGAAAATCTTCTATGAATCCGGAGATAAAATATGAAATATTTTTTGAAGGTTGTTCAGAATAGTAATAATGATATATTGTAATATATATGGAAGATATCACTACTAAGAGTAGGTTTTTGTAGATACCAGTCCCCTGCGTTTTTACTGGCATTCGAAGATAGGCTTTTTTATTATTGTAATTTATTTTAAAAGTAAACTTTGAGTGAGTTAATGTCACTCCCGTTGTGAGATTTAGATTAGCAATCAAACTAATTTCAATTTGCAAATTGCTTGGGTTTTTTATATGGCCTAGTTTTCATCGCTGGATAAGGACTAGACTTGGTGACCTAGTAGATCCGACTGGTATTTTTATTATAGGAAGACATTTTGGTAACTTCAGTCAGTAGTAGGACTGATGATGAATTTGCTTTTGACAGGTTCTAAAACAGAGGCCAAGGTTTGTTGCACTAAAGAAGCAGCCATCTTACATTGGAGGACATGAAAGTTTAGAGTTAAGAGATTATCAGTTAAATGGATTGAATTGGCTTGCTCACTCATGGTGCAAGTAAGTATAGTCTGAAATGAGTTTTTCTGTTTTGTAAATTGTAAGCATTTGTAAAACTGTATTTTTTTCGAAGGTGGAGGGTTTCATACAGTAAGCTCAAAGTAGAGATCTGAGGGGAGTGGTTTTGCTCTAAGTAGTACCAGAGCTTACCATTCCATGGCTGTTCTCAAAAAAACAGCTAAGCTTTCTTGTTGCTTTGCTTTTAATTTCGTATGGGGGTAAGTCATATTTTTAAAAATCAAACGAACCTAACACAGTAAAACCAGAAAACCCAAAGCAAACTTTCCTGAAATGTCAACATTAGTATTATACTTTTAAAATAAGACTCATGAGGAATGCTTGCAAGCTTTTTGTTAATTTTGTTAATTTAATTCAAATATTAAGCGTGGGGGGATTGGAAATTGTTTTTATGAAAAAACAATGGAAATAAACTCCTTCAAGATGTATAGTTGCAAAATCTTGCAAACTTATATGAGTGGTTTTTTATGCTCAAAAGATAATAATATTTTCTTCTTGTCCAATCCTTCCCCCTCTCTACACCCATTTTTTTTAGAGGGAATAGCTGTATTCTTGCAGATGAAATGGGTCTGGGTAAAACAATACAAACAATTTCTTTTCTGAACTACCTGTTTCACGAACATCAATTGTATGGGCCTTTCTTGCTGGTTGTGCCGCTCTCTACCTTGACATCTTGGCAAAGAGAGATTCAAACTTGGGCTCCTCAGATGAATGCTGTAGTTTACTTAGGAGATATAACTAGCAGAAATATGGTGAGTATTTCTCTTTATCATTGGAAGGGCTTGTAGATGAACAGACTCACTTCAGATTCCTGTCCTCTGCTAATCTCCAATATTTTGGTTAGGACTGAGCAAATACTTACTGAAACACTATGTGTTTAAGATGCAAATTGAAAGCTTAGATTTTGATATGATATCAATGTATGTGAAAGATTTTCTTACAGCTTATTAGTGAACGTGATTAAGAATTTAGTCTTGTGTATGAAAACAAATTATCTTCCGCCATATGATTATTTAGGTGGATATAGTAAAAATAAATATGTAAGCAAGCCAGTCATGATCTTCATTTGTTTCCTGAAAGGTTGTTGGTTTGTTTTCTTAATGTGTTTTCTGAATGTTAGTAATCTTATCCATTAAAGTAAAAAATGTTTCATAGAAATTCTTTGCTGTTTATTCAAAAGTTTAAACAAAATATATTTTGGAGTACTTAGGTTGGAAGTTCAGTCTTGTGTATGTTAATATGTTGTGCTTCTGTTTTGTGATCATATTATTGTACGTCATTAAACATTTACATTGCTGCAGTACTTAAATTCATCCCAATCAACAAGACCTTTTTTCTCTAGCTTATAGTTCACTTGATTCTTTTTGTAGATTAGAACTCATGAATGGATGCATCCACAGACCAAACGATTAAAATTTAACATACTTCTAACAACATATGAAATTTTGCTGAAGGATAAGGTAATCATACTTCTTCAGGGAGATGAAAATCACTTCTCCAGTGTAGAACTCTCTTTAGACTTGCATGTATTTGGGTTGTGGGCCATTAAATTCATGGAGAGTGTGATAGCTTTTGCTTTTGGAAGTATGACAGTGCGTGGCTTAGGTTTTTGTTTGTTTTTTTTTTTTTCTTGTGGGGTTTTTTTAAGGCACTTTCAGATTTTCTGTATGTGTGGTGAGGCTTTCAGCCTTTTTCCACTTCGTTAAGAGGGTAACACTTCTCTTTCTCCAGTTTGCTTGGGATTCTCATTACTGTAATAATCTCCTCCCATCTTCAAGAGCTCTACTTCTTTGCAGGAACTGAAAAAGAACCCAATCCTTAGCCCCAAACATTATAGAGAACTCTGAAATCCCATATAGTTTTTCTTTGTTATTGTGCATACAGTAGTATGTGTACATGTATTAATACTGTGTCCATAGTGGTAGCACACAGAGTTATTGTTAATCCTTCTAACAGTATATGGAAATTTTAACAGATGGTCAAGAAGCAGAACATTTTTACTTCATTTGTTTGTACATGCTGGGAAGAAGAGGTCAATAGCGTGGTTTTTTTTTTTTTTCTTCTGTCATGTAAAAATTAATGTGGGTCAGACCTTTGGCCATTTTTTTTCCTTTTAAACTTAATTTATACTTTCTTGGGATGCTTACACAGCCTTTCATTGAATCTGGCAAACATAAAAGCTGTAATTAGTACTAAAAACATATAGCTGTCCATATTTTATTAAAATAAACTAAAAAGTGATAGTGTTTATAGCTTGATTATAAAACGTGGGAAATTATGCAATGTGTTTATTTGTATAATGTTCCCTCCCTTCTCCATGTCTTTTAAGTCGTTCCTTGGTGGTCTGAATTGGGCATTCATAGGAGTTGACGAAGCTCATCGTTTAAAAAATGACGACTCTCTTCTGTACAAGACTTTAATAGACTTTAAGTCTAACCATCGTCTTCTTATTACTGGAACCCCTCTGCAAAACTCCCTCAAAGAGCTTTGGTCTTTGTTGCACTTCATCATGCCAGAAAAGTAAGGAAGAGTTCTACATGATTCTTTTTAACATCTTTTTTGGTCAAGTTTCTTATTGTGAAGTAGTATAGTGATTTGAAAATCAATAGAGGTAGAGAATCATACTGAAAGATAATTTAAATGTTCTGTATAAAGTAGATGCATATATTTTTTCATGCTGCTCCTGATAAGTAATGCTGGTAGCAGTTGTCACCTTTTTCCAATGCACAAAAATGATGGATTGATGTATGGGTCAGAACCTAAGGCTTCATCTTAGCTTAGAGGAAAAATGTATGGATTTACTCTGGGGAAATAGAATGGAATCTTTTCTGTGTTAGTACTATTAATGAAAACAAATTTGTACCAAGATATCCAATGTGGAATCATAGAATCATAGAATAGTTTGGGTTGGAAGGGACCTTTAAAGATCATCTAGTCCAACCTCCCCCTGCAGTAAGCAGGGACATCTTCAACTAGATCGGATTGCTCAGATATCCTGTAGTTCAGTCAGATAGCTGGTTTTCCCATACAGTTTGCATGCAGTAAGCTTACTGCATTGACCTTATTTTGTACTGACTTCTATTTATACCTAAGGTAAGTTAGACCTCATGTGTGAGAGCCACATGTTCCTGTCAGACATCTTGTAAATGCCAAGCACCATAGCTGCATCTAGTTTGAGCTATGGATTGTACTGACTTCTTCAGAACCTTAAAAAGCAAAGCCACTATGGTCTAGTACCCATTCTTCATTTGATCATAAAGTCTGTTCTCTTAGTCTGTTAGCACAGAGGGTAGTTACACTTCAGCTAGACCATACAAGCTGCAAAAAGTACATTAAGTAGTCTCTTGTTCTCTTGCACACCCTCCAGCCATGCAGCTGGTTTTTCATGCTGCTCTTGATAAATGTAATAATGGAGTTTCTGCAACCATATAGGTGAGTATCCTTGCAGAAAAAGGAAGATGGTGGGTTTCTGCTGGGGAAGTTAAAATTCAGTAATTTTCATTCTGAAATGTTTTTGGGAAATTCCATTCTTCTATTTACAGGCAAAATATTTGGAATTTCTTGTCAGATAAAAATTCAGGAATTGGATAAATTAAACAGAAAGGAGTAGGGAAGAAATCCAGATGTGTGTGTGCTCTTGTGGTATATTTATACACATTCTGTGTTATCTTTCTTCTTGAATTTTGCTTCTTCAAGTCATTCACAGTATGTCACTATTTTGCGCTCATTCTTTATTATGTTGAAGGTTTTCCTCCTGGGAAGATTTTGAAGAGGAGCATGGCAAAGGGAGAGAGTATGGTTATGCAAGTCTTCACAAAGAGCTTGAACCGTTTCTGCTGAGAAGAGTTAAAAAAGATGTAGAAAAGTCTTTACCTGCTAAAGTTGAGCAAATTCTGAGAATGGAAATGAGTGCATTGCAGAAGCAGTATTACAAGTAAGTAACAACACTTTTTAAATTGTGCTGGTTTAGTGATACGTCTGCATGCAATTTACTGAAGTATAGTATTTTTTATAATGAAATTTGAACTTACGGCTTCTAGGGTTTCACAACAGTAAAATTCTATGAAGCAAGGGCTCAAGAATTACAGTGGTCAAATGTCTATTCATGTAGCTTCTTTTGTTTGGCATGTTAGTACATTCTTTTGGGAGTTGCTTTTTTTCTTTAGCTCATTTATATTTTGAGAGCTTACATCTGTCTTCCTTCCACATATGGTTAGAAATTACTTATATTGTACATTTTATATCGTAGGTGGATTTTAACCAGGAATTATAAAGCCCTCAGTAAAGGTTCAAAAGGCAGTACCTCAGGCTTTTTGAACATCATGATGGAACTCAAGAAGTGTTGTAACCATTGCTACCTCATTAAACCACCAGATGATAATGAATTCTATAATAAACAGGAGGCCTTACAGGTAATGTCACTTTTTAATTACAAAAAAAAAAAGTTCTGTTTTACATCTGTAATATTCACACAATTTTATAGTGCTCTGGCAGTTCATTAATTCTTATTGAAGTATATTAAGAAAAAACAGGTTCTCTGGAAAATGTGCATCCTGGGTTTTACAGGTAAGTGAATTGATTTTTGTTTCTTAATTGGAACTGAATAATTGGCAGATAATTGACTAAATAAAATATCCTCGATTAATTACAATTGAAGTAAAAAGGAAATAGTTTGAAAGAGGCTGTGTATTTTTATGCAAAATAAACTTGAGACCTATTTTAAAACTAAGTAAAATAAATCAGCTAAGCAGGTAAATGTAATGTGAGTGGAAATGCATGTGACTGGCAGTGATACACCAGCAATCTCTCTGATAGCAGAAAGGGATCTGCAGAATGCTTTTAAACCTTTTTTATGATCAAATACTGTTCTCTGTATGCCTGCAAACAACTAAAGTGAAAGGAAATGAAGGTAACAAGCATGCAAAGCTCAGTCTGATTTTGTTGTTGTTGTAACAGATTACAACTATCCTCACTACCAAAGATGGTCTGTTGTTTCTTTTTTTTTAAGGTTAACTAGCATTTGTACCAAAACTGTTGAGAAGCACAGCAACAGATAAGACGACTGTTGTTCTTGATGCAGTTTATACCAACATAAATGTTTCTAAAGATTACTTTTTTCTGTAAGCTTTCAAGTTGATAATTTAAATACCTTCCTAAAGCCACTAGTTTGAGCAGTGATAAATATCCTCCTCCTTTCTGGCATAAAGGATAAAAGCACCTAATTTAGTATTCCCTAAAATTCTATCCTAAGTGTCTTCACCTAAAGAGGCTTAACATTAAATTTCACATTTGCTTGAGTTTCTGTTCTAGTTATTCCCAATGGAGCTGAGAAGGCTTAACAGGCTTTAGGTGGGTTACAATGTTAGGCACCACAAACAAGATTCCTGTCATTTATCTTGCCTGAGAAACTTGATTGATAGGCTTTATTTAAAAATGCTTAGAGAGTTAAGCAGCAGTACTTATTTCTTTTCAAAAGATGGGAAGTGAAGAGAAAGTAGTACTAAGATACTTTTTTCTCAATCTTATATTTTATTGGTTACCGAGTTTTTTTTTTTTTTTACTTGGCAGAAAAGAACTTGGGCCTACATCATAACTTTTTAAATTTTTAAGCCCATATATTTATTTCCTGTTTTGATGAGATGCTAAGATATGACTTTGAGAGGGAACTGAACAATGCATTTCCTTTAAAAATGTGTGAGTTAGTAATCCTGTTAATTTCAGTTAGAATCAACTAAACTAAAATCATATTAAACTTTCGTGTTCAGTTAATGCTGCATACTAGTAAATTTATATAACAGTGTTGTCTTATGGTCACATGAATTTGGTGGGTAGTTGGTTTTTTTAGTTCTAGGAGAGTATATATTTTATGCACGTTTTAAACTATAAAATTCTTAAGGAATGTCAGAATTTACCTTCCCACCACCACCACTCCCCCGCAATAGAAAGAAAAGCAAACCTTGAATGAAGGTCTAACCAACTGCGTGTGTATTAGTCTTGAGATGAATTTATTTTGTAATATATATTATCTTGGTTTTTGTAGCATTTAATACGTAGCAGCGGGAAACTAATCCTTCTTGACAAGCTGCTGATTCGTCTGCGAGAACGTGGCAACAGAGTTCTGATTTTCTCACAGATGGTGAGGATGCTGGACATTCTAGCAGAGTATCTGAAGTATCGTCAGTTTCCCTTTCAGGTAAGAATTTTGGTGGTAGTAGCCAAGAAGCTTTGATCTTGAATAAAAGAAAAATCTTTTCTTTACTGTCAGGGTGACAGAGCACTGAAACAATTTGTCCAGAGGTTATGGAATCTCCATCCTCTGGGCCATTCAAAAGCCACCTGAACATGACCTTGGGCAATCTGCTTTACCTGCCCCTGCTTGAGTAGGGAAGTTAAACAAGATGACCACCAGAGGTCCCTTCCAACCTCAACTGCGTTGTGATTATATGATCTTTACCACTTTGCTTAAGAAAAGATAGAAGAAAATGTGTTCTTTTTCTAGAAAGACTGGCAATTTCTATATGCTAAATAGTATTTTGAAATTAAACAGATGAATTAAAAAATTATGTGAAGTCTTGCATTATTTTTTTTTTTTCTTTCACATAATAGTTTCGGGCAGTTGAGAATTCAAGGTGCTCTGATTTTGAATATAGTGTCAGAATTACTTTTTTAACTGTAGTATTCAATCTCTTTTAGAGACTTGATGGATCAATAAAAGGGGAATTGAGGAAACAAGCACTGGATCATTTTAATGCAGAAGGATCAGAGGTATAGTATTTTTTCCCTAAGGAATCTGTTGGGTTTTTTTTTTCCAAAGAAATACAAAAAACATTGCACAAAAAAAGAAGGCTGAGAAAAGTGAGGAATATATCAGTAAGGGTGAAAATTCATTGTTACTGCCTAGACTATAAGGTTTACATCTGCTAATTTTTTTGCTCTGAGAAGAGGTTAAGTAGAAAACACATAACTTAGGAAAATGGTATTTAATCAGTTGTGTAGCTATAATTTTTTTTCCTTAATGCTCTTTATCAAAGTAATTTTAATTACTATATAAATGCTGCAGAAATTTAATCTCAGCCTTTTTGCTGTGTAGAACTTAACACAACGAATGTTTACAAGACCATTGAACTTAGACAAGCAGTTAGCATCAAAAACAGCCCTTGGCAGTGAGCAGAACTAACTTGCGTATATCTTTGCATGAATAACCATCTTTAATTGTTTCAAATCTGGCTTCTAATACCTTCATTTATTGCCATCTACTTACCTGCCGTGGAAGAAATAGTGAAGAACTGATTTCTAGCCATTCTTTGTGAGCAACCTGTGAATATGTAGGTGTCTGTTACAGATTCTTTCTTTTTGAGTTGAAAGATTTGTCGCTTTTTTAGCATTCCTAATATGCAAGCCATTCCATACCTTTGATCGGCTTAAATCAAATTAAATTAAATTAAGCACTAACTGGCAGGTTTGGGGGAGGGGAGGTTGTTTTGGTGTTTTGTTTTGTTTTTAATTAGTAATTGAAGAACAGCATTTGTCAGTTGCTGCTGAGCTTGTTTCTGTTATGATGGCGGGAGAAGGACTTGACTCCAAAACATAAACTTCAGATATTTTTTACATACAGAAGTTAATTCTGTTTCAAAATTCTAGCATAGACGTTGTTGCCTTTTTCTGAAATCTTTGCAGTTACACTGTACATTTTCTGAGATGAAGAAGAATTTAAACTTCGTGCATTTAAAAAATGGAGGCAAACTATGCATTTGTGCAGCAACAAAATTATGTTCTCAGTTTTATTTTTTATTTCTTTCCTAAAAATTCAGAACATTCCGTATGGTTTTTGGCCATTACTGAGCTAAGGTCTACGTGGAAATTTCTAATACAATTCTCAGGACTCATTCCTTGGTGTAATGATTTGCTCTTTCCTGTATCTGTACTGAAAATTGGGATTTTTTTTCTTTTAACCTGTTTTACTTTATCTTGAATTTCATATGTTGTTTCATTGCATGTCTCAAGATCCTTCTGCAGTCCTTCATAATTGTCTCTGAATGAATAATTCTGTATCATCTATAGGCTTTTTCACCTCATTACTTATTCCATTTTCATATTGTTCATGAATATGTTGAGCAGCATTGAACCCGGCAGAAGACTTTTGCTTCCTGTCTCTTAACCAGTTACCTGTAGATTCAAGCATCATCCCTGCTCTGATATGGCTGCTTAGTCTGCCAGGGGTTGGGGCAGGGGATATGGGAGAGGGACTTTGTAACATATAAGGCTTTAACAGTAGAGTTTTTGTACTTTTGGTCAGAAGACTGACAACAGTCTTCTGTTTGGTTGGGATTTTTTGGTTGGTGATCATCTTCTAGGATGCTGCTTTCTTTAAACTGTTGAGAAGTCAGTCACTACTTAAGAAAGAAATTGATATCAACGTTTGCTTTATACTTAAAGGAGCTATAACTATAGAACAGCTATGGAATTGGTAGTATATGGTTTTGTAGTCTGTGCCACGGACTGCATAAACAAATGTCATATTGGTTCCTTTAAGAATATTACAACTATTGTATATAAAACTGTTCCTTATTTTATGATTTCAGGACTTCTGCTTTTTACTGTCTACCAGAGCTGGAGGATTAGGTATCAACTTGGCATCTGCTGACACTGTAGTTATATTTGATTCTGACTGGAATCCACAGAATGATCTGCAAGCACAAGCTAGAGCGCATAGGATTGGACAGAAGAAACAGGTATGCACGTTCAGCTTTAAGTTCCAAATCTGCAGGAGGGTTCCATACAGTAGCTGTCCACTCTCTGTCTGCACCATTCAGTCTTTATGTATTTTTAAGAATAACTAATACTTGCTGCATATGTTCAAAATGTTAGTAATGCTTATTTCACTTTCTTTTTTTTAAAATCTCGCTATATGGAGAGCTAATATGGCAGCTATGGTATATGGATGGGAGAGGGAGAAGAGTTGTGGGCTTGTCTGTCCCACATTCATTGGCATCATGTCATTCTAGAAAACAACTGCGCATCCCCCTTGTTTCAATATTTCTTAATTCTGTTCAGGTTTCTTTCTTGCAGAAGAGATACAGTAATAATTGGAAATATGACAGTTTTGCCTGTGGCATGCTTGTGCCAAATTACTGAAGTTTAAAAAAGATGGGTCTAAGAGTTTATTTCTCTGTTTTTTTAAAACACTTATGTAAAGACGGTGGTAACATGATTGAATTAGTATTTCATATTTGAAACCAGTCAAAGAATTCAGAAGATATGTAGTGAATACTGAGATTTCTCCGTATTGTTGCTTATTTTTTTTAAATATACATAGGTTAATATTTATCGGCTAGTCACAAAAGGATCAGTAGAAGAAGATATTCTTGAAAGAGCCAAGAAGAAGATGGTGTTAGATCATTTAGTAATTCAGAGAATGGACACTACAGGGAAAACCGTACTACATACAGGCTCTACTCCTTCAAGGTATATTTGTATTTATTTCCATATCAATCTACCCTTAAGTATATTTGACAAGTAAATAAAAATGTAAGTTATTTTACTTGGTGTCCTGGTTTCGGCTGGGATTGAGTTAACTTTCTTTCTGGTGGCTGGAGGGGTGCTGTGTTTTGGGTTTGTATGAGAAGAGCTTTGATGGCCCATTGATGTTTTGATTGTTGCTGGATGGTGCTTGCACCAGGGACTTTTCAGCCTCCCATGCTCTGCCGGGTGCATGGGAAGCTTGGGGGGAAGGGGGCAGAGCATAGCCGGGGCAGCTGACCCAGCTGGCCAATAGGGTATTCCATACCATGCGATGTCATGCTCAGTATAAAAACTAGGCGGGGGGGTGGGGGGACCTCCCATGTCTCACGAAGGCAGGTCGGCAGTTGGCGGGTGGTGAGCAGATGCATTGTGCATTGCCTGCTATGTATATTCTATTATTGTTACTGTTATCGTTGTTATTACTGTCCTACTTTGTTTTATTTCAATTATTAAACTGTTTTCATCTCAACCCGGGAGTTTTCCTACTTGTGCCCTTCCGATTCTCTCCCCGATCCTACCGGAGGGGGGCGGGCGAGTGAGCAGCTGCTTGGGGTTTAGTTGCTGGCGGGGGTTAAACCACCATAAACAATAACCATTTGGTTAATGAAAGGCAAAATAAGGTTAAGTAAGTAAAGATGCAAAGTGTATTGTCTTTGTAGATTTTTATGTGCATATTAAATATGTATATTAAAAATATATACAGTTTTTATTTGACAGTAAGAAGAAAGCTTAAGTGACTCATGATTGTAGAGAACTTTTTCAAGTTACTAAATGTTTTTCCTGAAACATCCTTTACTTCAGCTCAACACCTTTTAATAAGGAGGAGTTATCAGCGATTTTGAAGTTTGGTGCTGAGGAACTTTTTAAAGAACCTGAAGGGGAAGAACAGGAGCCCCAGGTAAGTAGTGTTTCTGGAATAGGTTAGATAAAACAACCGAATATATGTATGAATTATTTCATTGTAAAGAGAAATGTCGTCTTTTTTAGGAAATGGATATAGATGAAATCTTGAAGAGGGCTGAAACTCGGGAAAATGAGCCCGGCCCATTAACTGTGGGAGATGAGTTGCTTTCACAGTTCAAGGTATTGCTCTGTTCCCTCCCTCCTGCCATAATTATACTTTCCTTTATAAACGGTACTATTTTTCTTTTGTGTACCTATCCATCTCTTCATTCTTATGAAACAGATCCCTCAGTAAGTCAACTTTATATCTCTTTCTAATAAAATGTTTTTTCATCTATACCGGATACCTACCATCAGTATAATCATTTTAAAAGACCTGATGTATTTTGCTAATAAAATAAGAGATATTTATGAATGTGTTAATGATGAGAATTCTGGGTAGTTTTGTGTTTTATTTACTGCCTTTGTTGATAAACAGCTGTGGTATTGTTGAATGCAAAATACAAAGTTTGCATTTCTTAGTCGATAACTTCTAGAAATAGCTTTTAGTCCTCAAGTAAACTTGAATGCTGGGTAATTTAAGTGTTATCAGTTAAAAATACTATAATTTGGGTGCTAAAAAATGCAGAGCATGATATAGTTGTTTAGATAAATATATTATTAAATAGCTCTCCTGCTGATCATTCATTTGCAACATATTTTGATTTCTACAGTGTATTAATGTTTGTTTAGTTTTATATTATTATAGTTTCACATTAACTCAGGCATTCAAATATCGTTAGCCCTATTTTAAGGAAGTTAGACAACAATACAGCTATCGGGGAAGTGTTTCATTATGCATCTCTATCAGTCAACTTTTAAAAGAAGAAAAAGATTCTCATCTTTTCTCATCTTAGCCCATGTTGCATGGAGTCTGTGTCTGTTTCATAAATGAGACAGTGTTTCATGAATATATTTTGTATGTATAAATTTTATATATATTATAAAACAATAGCATATGTAAAAATACATAAAATACATAAATATATAAATTATGCCATCTAGAACTTCATTTTCTTAAAATATTAGTTGCTCAGTCTTTTTCAAATAAAGTCATGTATTTATTTGATGAAAATACATGTATTCTGATATACAAGGTGGCCAACTTTTCCAATATGGATGAAGATGATATTGAGTTGGAACCAGAAAGAAATTCAAGAAATTGGGAAGAAATCATTCCGGAAGTCCAGCGGCGAAGAATAGAAGAGGAGGAAAGACAAAAAGAACTTGAAGAAATATACATGCTCCCAAGGATGAGAAACTGTGCAAAACAGGTGTCTTTTCGTTCTGACTGACTTGTACTTTTCTGTTGCTGTTGGTTTTGTTTGTTTATTGGGGGTTGTTTTTGAGTTTTGGGTTGGGGTTTTTTTTTCCCCTTTTCTGAACACATGTTTTTGACAGGCTAGGTAAAACCTTACTTATGTTTGTTAATCACGTAGCTTTGAACTACTTATTCTGAAATTCCAGATCAGCTTTAATGGAAGTGAAGGGAGGCGCAGTAGGAGCAGAAGATACTCTGGATCTGATAGTGACTCCATTTCAGAAAGAAAACGGCCAAAAAAACGTGGAAGACCACGAACTATTCCTCGAGAAAATATTAAAGGATTTAGTGACGCAGAGATCAGGCGGTAAGATATGGGGGGACATGCATGTTTAAATGGACAAGACAAATTTTTTATTATTATTGTTATTACAGAGCTTGAAAGTACAGAAGCAGTTTATTTTTCCTGAATTTATTTGCAATGTTTTTATTGTAGGCATTTAATGTTTTACCTTGTGTACTTTTTGGTGCTGACATAGTGAACTGTCATGGCAAGAATTTGAACCCATTTTAATGAGGGATAAAATTAGGTTTGAAAAATATTCTTGATTGTTTTAAATTTGTTGATCCCTGCAACTGATGAAGACAGTGATTTCAAAAAACAGTTGTTACAATGGGTGAGCTTTTCTTTTAATATGCAAGCAATTTAATCTGCTTCCCATCATTTTATTGAAAAACTGCAGTGCTGGAAGAATATGTAAATCTTTTTGGTGACAACTACAGAAACTTGAGGGGATTTTGTTTTCTTTTTAAACTTCTTGACACTGTGATTGAATTAATATCATGCTTTTTTAAACTAAAAAAATAAAAAATCCTGTTTGAATCTGGTACAGCAGGTCCCTTCAATATTTGGTGCTAAAATATTTTTTGGTAGAAGGAGGAGGAATTGTTTTGGTTTACGTCTTTGGGTTTGTGAAATGCTACTTTGCTTCTGAAATTTAAGTATGCATGTTTCTCTAAAACGCTGTAAAGCTTTCAAAATATTTTTGGTTAGAGAAATAACTTTAAAGATCCTTTTTGCCTTTCCATTTCATCTAACAAAACAGCGAATTCGTACTGTTTTCAAGGCTGTTCTTGTGCTTGCACTAGCAATTTGAGGCCTTGATTGTTGAGGAAATTTTCTTTCTTTTTTTTTTTAA